CCTCTGAAAGAAGTTTCGGTTTGAGGTCGGAATTGTTGGTGACTTGAGGTCCTGCTGCAGAGTGACTTCCCAAGGGTCTGGAGACCTTTTATGTCTAGAGTAGGTGATGGAGTAGCTCTTCACAGCACAGTGGCTAGTCTGCACTGGCAGTGTTTGGTAGTTTGAGAGTGTTTCATTGCAGCTGAAATAATGTTTTGATGCTGATGTTCTAGCCTGTTATAACTTTAAACCTCTTACAAATGAATTAATCTCATCAGCTGTTGAGGATAAGAACAGAGCATGTCTGTTCTGTCTGCCTGTTCCATGCTGAATCATGAAGAGAGCCTGCCCTCGATGGGCAAGGGTGCGGAAGGATGCTAGCAGCGTACAACAGGCGATCGTCCCCTGAACCTTGCTCGGGGCAGTCTGGGTTTGGAGCAGTGGTGGTTAGTGAAGCTGATGGCATCCTGCTGTTCTTCCCTGCCAGGGGCTGGTGGTCTGTGTTGCTGCTGTGGTTTAGTGTAACACTGAGCACTGTCTCCCCGCAGGTGGTGGCCAAGAAGGCCTGGCAGCGACACAAGACGGGGAATGATTATTTTGCTCTACCTCCTTGGTGGCTGCCTGCTCCTTGCCTCCAGCCAACAGAGGCTTCAAGCTGTAATGGGCACAGATGTTGGTCCCCGACATGCTGCGGTACTCGCCCATCTCTGTACGGATGGTTTCGTTCTGGGTGATGGTGAGCAGAACCGGCACGGAGAGCGTCACCTCCTTCTGCAAGACCTGGATCAGCACCATGCGTGGGGGGATATTAACCAGCAGCTGCACTTCCAGGTGGTCCCAGCAGGTGCTGGATTCACAGCGTCCTTTCTGCACCGTGAAGACGTTGGAGGCTTCCACGGTCAGCGTGAAGGAGAGCCTGGCTTTGAGGCTGGTGGAGTTGCTGAAGTGGAAGCTCTGCCAGAGCGTGGTGCTGTACTCCCGGCTGCTGCTGGCCACCAGCACCTGCTCCGTCTCAGTCTCATTCACCCCCTCGATCTCATCCACCAGCACCTCCCGCTCCACCTCCACCTGTGATGATGGAGCTCACCCCCTCACCCAGCCCCGGTACCGCTCCAGTGGTGGGAAGCCAGCCAGGCCCCGCACGGCCGCACAGCAGCCAGGGATTCACGTGAGTTTGTGAGTGTGAAAGGGATGGAGATGGGGATGGAATTGGGATGTGACTGAGATGGCAGTGTGGACAGGGACAGGATTGGGATGGGGATGGGACTGCAATGGGAACAGGACTGAGGAGCTTCTACGATGGGGCTACAGGACTGGTGGATAAGGGAAGAGCAACTGACATCATCTGCTTGGACTTGTGCAAAGTATGCAACACTGTCCCACTTGACATCCTTGTCTCTAAATTGGAGAGACGTGGATTTGACAGTTGGACCACACGGTGGATAAGGAATTGGCTGGATGGTCACACCCAAAGAGTTGTGGTCAACGGCTCAATGTCCATGTGTAAACCAGTGACGAGTGGCATTCCTCAGGGGTCAGTACTGGGGCTGGTGTTGTTTAACATCTTTGTGGGAGACATGGAGAGTGGGACGGAGTGCACCCTCAGCATGTTTGCTGATGACACCAAGCTGTGTGGTGCGGTTGACAGGCTGGAGGGAAGGGATGGCATCCAGAGGGACCTGGACAGGCTGAAGAGGTGGGCCTGTGCCAACCTCATGAAGTTCAACAAGGCCGAGTGCAAGGTCCTGCAGCTGGGTCGGGGCAACCCCAGGCACAAATACAGGCTGTGCAGAAAATGGATTGAGAGCAGCTCTGAGGAGAAGGACTTGGGGGTGCTGGTAGATGAGAAGCTCAACATGAGACGGCGATGCGCATTTGCAGCCTTGAAAGCTAATTGTGTCCTCAAGGACACCTGCAGCTGGAACAGCCCCACTTGTAGCAGTTGTGGAAGTGGTTGCAGCTGCCCAGCGCGGTCAGGGTGCCCAGCCCAATGGCGTATGAGAATAAGATCTGGGTGCCCGCGTCGATCCAGACCTGGGGTGTGAGGGAGAGCATTGAGGGGCTGGGAGGGTGCCAGGGGGGTGGCCAGCACTTGTCCCCCTCCTGCCCTCCCTGTCTCCCTCACCTGTGCCTCAGCCAGCTTGGACCAGTTGGGTTTCAGGCCATAGACGATGCCACCCAGCGCCCCGGGCAGCGTCACCCCATGGACCAGCAGCAGGATGAGGACCACGTAGGGGAAGAGCACCATGAAGTAGACGATCTGCGAGGGAGCGGATGCTGGTGAGAAGCCCCAGGCCAGGGCTTGGGGGACATCCTCCGCAGCTGGTGGCACCTCCCAGATGTGGGACAAGGGGTCCTGCACCCCTCTGGTCTGCACCACAGGAGGGCAGGTGCCGTGTGCCACAGTCCTGCTCCCACATGCTGGTGGCCCTGACATGTGTGCCCTTCCCCCAACATCACCTTCCCGGTCGACTTGACACCCTTCCAGATGGAGAAGTAGACGACAACCCAGGTGGTGACCAAGCAGAGGATCATCTGCCAGTCCATCTCCCCCGGCTCACCGAGGTCTGCACCACCTCCGTGATGAGGGTCAGCTTTGGCACATAGTCTCAAAGCGGTAGCTCACGTGGATGTCAGGGACATTGGTGCGACGGATGTCATTGCCCTCTGGGCCCTCTTTCAGGTAGTGGGGGACCCAGCCAGTAGCTTTTCACCTTGTGGGAGAAGCCAGTCATCAGGACGCTGTTGCAGGCCAGCTCGCACATGTCGCGTGAGCTGAGCTTCCAGAGCTGGGTGGCAGTGCTGTACTCCTCCATCAGGGGCTCCTTGGTGAAGTGGAACTGGAGGGGTCATCGGTGGAGAGGGAGACCATGAGCCCCTGTGAAAGATACTTGGCAGGCAGTTGTGGTGGTAGCTGAGGAAGGGGCTGTTGTTGCTCAGCGGGGACATTGCGATGCCAATCTGCTCCAGGTACTAGAGGTACTGCAGGACGGGCCTTGTGGAGCAGCAAACCATGGGAGATGTTCTCCAAGACCATGAAGCCCGAGACAAGGTGATGGATGGGGCTGGCCTCGCCGCAGTGTGGGCATAGGACGAAGGTGTGGAAGCCTCACTTCCTTCAGAGGTGGTTGAGCACCGTCACATTAGCGTACATGTAATACAGGTAGTAGGAGTAGGGGAGGTTGTCCTCCACCCGGTTCCCTGGCAAGGGGCTGTCCAGGTTGAAGATGTGATGCTGTGGTTTGGATTCACCATCCACGCTGTCGAAGCCGCCCATGTGCTCTAGGAAGAGGTGCAGCTCCGGGTGCTGGGCAGGGTGGATGGTAGCCTCGTAGAAGGGCAGGAAGATGTTCTCCAGCATCTCCTGGAAGTTGGCCAACTGCTTCTTCGTCCAGTAGACACTGAAGTGCTGGGGCACCTGCACGAGCCAACAGACATTGTTGGAGTGGATGCCATGGTTGACAGCCCAGTGGGCCAACTTGTCCCACTCATCCTTGGAGCAGCCATAGATGGAGAGCCGCAGCTCAGCGTTTTGGAACTTGCTCTCCTCCATGTTGGACATCACCTCCTTGACGTTGTGGGCAAAGTACTTCCCTGACACACAGTTGTCTGTCTTGATGATCTCCCACGGGATGGACTCGCCGATGGGGCTGTACTTGGCGTTGAATTTGTCAAAGCGGTGGAAGGTGTTGCAGTCCACGTGGACATCCAGCATGTCCACGCTCAGGTTGTAGGCGGTGAGGTTCATTGTCTTGAAGACCTTGAGCATCTGCTCCTTGCCCTTCTCCATGTGAACAGTTTCATCCAGGTGCTTCTTCATGCCCCGCTTGTTGAGGCATGGGATATGCTTCTGCTTCATGCAGGACAAGGTGTGGATGTGGGTGTCCACCTTGCGACTTCATGCAGGACTGGCCTTTAAGCAGGAAAACCTGTGAAACCATCCTCACAGATTGTCCCCAGTGTCAACTGAAACTGCAAACAGGTCACCCTGCAAAGATGCCACCTCTGCTTGTCAGTGACGGAAGGACCCTATGGTGAACACAGCAAATCGATTATGGGGGACCCTCCAAGCCCTCCTCAGGATATCGGTACATCCTCCCAGGAGCAGAAGTTGTTTCAGGTTTAATTGTGACAACTCAGTGCCAAAAGGCAAACACTCAGAGTACGATCAGGGGATTGTCCTCTTGGTTCTCAAGCTTGCCAGCCCCGATGTCATTCCAAGTGATAACAGTTCACATTTTTCCAGAAAAGTACAAGAATGGGCAAAACAAGAAGTTCAATGGGTATTTCACAAAAATGCAGCACTACTACTTGATTTTACAATTGCCTCATGTGATATGTGGGACTCATGCGCAACCAGCCAGCCATGGATCCATATGCAGCTCATATAGGCTGCAATGGACACGCACCCAACACTCGTCACATCTCTAAACTTGTCTGCAATAGTATTACGCAACAATTTTGTCTTACATGAGCATAAATGGATCACAAAATATGAAAGAGAGGCAAATTCAATTTCTGGAAGGAACTAGTGGAGCCACTATTGCAGTTGGATGCCGAATTGAAAACCACTCTAACTGTGCAGCAGTTTCATCCATTTCCGTAGAACATGCAGCAGACAAATGCAGTTATGGCTTTGATCACGGACATATCTGTCCCCACGAACGTGAGAGCTGGCCTGTCTTCACCATATTCCGCTCAATGTTTGTAACATGCTTTTGGACCGACCCCGAATTCTATTCTAGTGTTGCTTTTCAATTCAAAATCTAAATTCCTCAACCAAATTTGCTTATTCCATCTCCTATCGAACCATCTCCTTCAGGCCTGTGTAGTGAATGACAAATTTCACCTATCATGTAGAAAGAGGTAGAATTGTCACCTTTGTTGTCACCATACATGATGCTTTGGTATATAACGTACCCAACGGTTGCGTTAGGAACGAACCGTGATGGAGCTGTACTCTGTCCCTTCGAGTGTGGGCCCATCAAAAGGGAGAAAAATGGCAAACAATCGATGTGAATGCACGCGTTGTGCAAAAGATTTGTGAAAGCAATGCTCTTGAAAGTCAAGACATTTGTCTTGACACAGAACAAAATGTCTGTCACTTTGAAATCCGTCCAGATAAAACCCCTGAGACCACGGCCATCTATGTTGGGAAAGGGTGTGTGTGCATGCCAACATGGTGCAAATCCTTACTAACAGCTAACATTGTCTGTAACGTAAGCACTCAGCTCGATCTGTCTGTGTGTGCGCGATTTCTCTACAGTTACTGGTTGTGATTTTAACTTCTCTGTACCCGTAACTCCTCGTAATGATTTGTCTGGTGATGACATGCTGTATTGCGAGCTGCAGTCAACACGCGGTGGGATGAACCTAGCTCTTGCAGTGTTGCATCCTTTGTACACATCTGTACACGCATTTAGAATACTTTGAAAGTTAGTGTGGTCCTTGTCATCTTCAAATCTGACAATAAGCTGCTAAACAACCCTGAAAAGAAAAAAAAACCACCCTACTAAATTTGGCTTTACCTCATACTATCAATAAAACTCAGATTGCCACCAAATCATAAATCGTGTGAGAGATTTCATCTGCAACGCTCCCCAGAATCACCATGCAGAGCTACTGCTCAGTATTTCCACATTTTCCCCTCCCTCTTTGCAGAGGCGGCTGTGAAGTGCACATTTCTCAGGTAGGGTTCAAATGAGGGGGCTGCTTTAACGTAGGAAGGAGGGATTTAGTACCTTGGGTGCCCCCTCCTCCACTTGATATATTTTGTCTGTTGCTGTATAGTTCTTCCCTCCTCCTGTGGGGTTACATTGACTACAACACGACCTTTCTCCCAGACCAAGTATGGTTTTTCTGCATCTTTAAAACTGCATGAATAAAACCCCATGGGGCGGGTCGGACCCTCCAGCCGACGCTGACGTGTCTGGCTGCTCCATGAGCTGCACAACCCCATTTGATTTGGAGTGGATCTGTGTGTCAGGCCAAAGTCTGATATGCCCCCACCTCGAAAACTAACAGCTTTAAGGCTTCCTCAGGGATAGGGGTCCATTCCCAGGCAGCTCTTTTACGAGGCAAATCATGTAAGGGACGAGCTATGATAGAAATATCTGGGATATGTTTCCTCCAGAATACTTCAACTTCGGCTACACCAAGGTGAGAAGCACTGAGCCCCACTGGCAGCTCCCCCCAGCCCCTGCCTCCCCCCG